GCGCTAACTACGGAGTTTTCTCATCAACTTTGCATCTGATTAACAAACATGTCGGCAGCGTCACAGCGGCCAGGCGAACTGAGCAACGTGGGTCGTCGACGATGCATATAGAATACAGAGCTTGGTATAGATTAGTGACCGACCCCAAGCTCAAGACGGAAAATCCATAATATTGGGTTCTTATCACCAAGTTCTACGAGTAGCTCTACGGTCAGTTGAATACCTGTTTTATAATTCACTACAGTCCTAAAATACCCCTTGAAAATATTGCAAATCACTACATTACATGTCGAGTACGATTCCACCTACGAAGAGAAATAATGTATTAGATTTTATACGATCACGATCGCGCCGTATGGGCCTTGCCAATCTTCCAAAGGGTCTTCCCATATACTGGGGCTGTGAATTGGGACGGACGCAGGCCCCCCAAATGGGCCGCTTCTGAGCCCTGTGTCTGGCAGATCACGCTCCTCACGGTAACCAGATTTAGCATAAGACACCTGAAGCTCATGCCCTTGCTTCTGGAGGCTCCGCAGAGTTTCCAACTCAGCTTCAGCGAAGGTCAGCTTTTTCGGAAATAGCATGCTGCAGGATTTCAACGACATATCGAATCGCCTCTGGATAAACGTAGTCACTGCCGTGCCCGTGCAGGCGTTGAAAGGTTCAGTGTACTCCGCCGTAGACGAGTACGGCAAGTAATGTGCGTACCCATTAAGGATCTGAATTTTTTGTAGTTTGGGACACCATGGATCAGGATTATCGGATGAAGGAGTAAGACCAAGAAGATGCATATCTTGTAGTTGACCTGCTAGATTTACGGCGTTGTATCGCAACGTAACCAAATTATGGGATTGTGAAAGTAATTCACTGAACCCCTGCAGCGCTTGGGATTCCAGGGGTATCGCCAATTCCAATGTTTCCAGGTTATGAAGAGGTATTCCGGCAAACGGCCACTCGATATAGATCATGTCCCGGACTGAAATATGCGTGCTGGCGAAGCTGAACAATTTCAGCGCAGCTGAGAATTGGAAACAGCCCAGCACAAACTTTACTCCCTCTTCTATCCGACGAAAGTCTGCCAGGCTCGCAGTCCAAATGAGGCCAGCTCCATTTGCCTGACCATAGCCAGCCGATAGCCGCAACTCACTTAAATGGGGGAGATGTACGAGTGGGTGCGAAATAGGTTCAAAATCGGCAAAAGATATAGCCAGGCTGACAGACTGCAGTTGTGGCGCTTCTACTAAAATGGCTAAGATCTGTTGCGGGGTCAAGAAATCTTTGATGACCACAGTAGTCAAATTTTCCCAATTACAGGGTAGAGACGTGTAGTCATAGTCCTTTCCGAAGAACTGATCAACACGCAGCGCCTTCAAGAGGGGCATACCAGCAAGGAGAGGGGGGAAGTCCATTCTTTCTTCCAACTGTAATTGCGCGGGAGTGTGACTACCTATGTGGTAATCTGTGACGTGCAACTGTAGTGAAGTGAGAGCTGGAAAGTTGGAAGGAGCTAAATCTGAGAAAGTCGAGAAATTGGAGGATGAGAGAGACAAAAAAAGTTGGCCGAATCTGCTGCTAAAGCGAAGCAAAGTACGTATCATCGACTCCATATTATTCTGTGCCAAGTCGGTTCGTTCGGATGAGATATTCATGTGTGCGTGTACAAGAGTGCGTGTAAGATCTGTGCTCCCGTGGAAGGAGATGGAAACCGAGAGCGAACCAGATCGCTCAAGCCACGCCGTAACGCCTTCCATTCGTCGAGAGCAGGCGACGCTGCTCAAATTCGGGGGAAGGTAGATATGCAACGTTTTCCACAGACGAGGGGTATCTAAAGCAATGATCCTCCAGTCCCGACAGATTCTGGTCAGCAGTAGTGGGGCCTCGTTAAGATCTCGAACAGCATATTCTGGAAGGCACTGCACGAAGATATTCGCGAGTACCTCGGCTGGAAGCTGGCGTATAGGAGAAGCCAATGCCTTATGGGCCGAGACGTATTTCTCCACTATTTGTTTTCGAGAGCAAAGACGATCTATCTCGGCCTCCAGTTGAGAGAGTTCGAGCTGAGGATCGATAAGTAGTGCCTTGAGCATGCCTAACTCGGTTTGGGTAGGAGAATAATTTGTTCCAAGGAGTGAAGCAAACGGGGAATCTGATGTATTCCAGACTGGAGGAGAGCTTCCAAGTTCAGACATGGTCGTTTGGAACAAAGAGAAGTCAGGTATGGGCGCCAACTGTATGATTCGATCTGGATTTCTCACGCCTCTCGACTACGACTTTTTAAAAAAATTAATCGGTTACAGAGGTGCTTCCAGTCTGATGATCGCTTGTGTCTCTACGTTTCCGGGTTTCATTGAATGCAATCTCGACTGGCTGCGGCTTGCTTTAGATGAACTGGTCTGGAATAAGCAGATGCAAACCAGATGAAAGAGCGTTGACGATGGATTGCTTGAGAAAGAAGACGCAAATTCGAGCCAAGTCATCAATAGCTCTTGGAATAGCAGTTGATTGGCATTTCAACTATTAGAAAGTTGGAAGGCTATTGTATGCGACTGCCAGTCTCAAGATCACCTCCAATACCGCTCATCACTTCAGCATGTGTTAGCTGTAAGACTTATCAACAAAAAAATGTAGAACCATCGCACTCGAAGATATTTTTTCGATCTGTTGTAGCTATTAAACGCGACGCGACGCGTTATTGCCTAAAATGGATACGGCAGGAATCGTAGCGTGGCTGTGCTGTACGTGGCGCCGGGTGCTGTCCATGCGTGAAGCGCCTTACAGGTACACACTGCAATTTGACCACGACCACGACCACAACCTTTGCCGTTAACGGTAACTCACAGGATATACACGACTTGCACGAAAATATCACACTGTCTGGTCATTTTTTCGAATGGCTGACCTATCATCTTTGACTCCTTCACAAGTTCGCGCCGTAGAACAGCTTCGTGACTTGACAAATGGCGGAGACGATGAAGTTGCAATTGGCGTGTTGACTAGCGTAGACTGGGATGTTGAACGGGCTGCTGAAATGATATTTGACGGCCAAGCTGGAAATAGCAAGACCGAAGTCAGTAGCACCCCTGCTGGTGCTAGTTCGAGTCAACTGGAAGACTCGTATGGAAGAAGATATGAAGAATTTGACGTCGATGATTCTGAGCAGGGCTTGTTAAGGCCTAGAGAACCGGTATTTACTTTCCTTCCAGACATGTATTTGTTCTAAAAGTTTGACGCTATGTAGCCCCGGACTTCTTCATCTATTCTAAGCTTTATAACTTATCCTCTACATCTCCTTTCCTCGCTCTTCCGTTTCATATTTGGCATTTTGCGCATACCCCTCCCCTATATCCCTTTCCTTTCACTCAACTTCTACCGCCGTTCAGCTGGAGGTGCTGTTCGCGGCCGACCCCGAGCGGGCGGGGGGATAGAACGCTGGATACGGGAGCTAGAAGAAGAAACCGGTGCCGTATGTGCTGGCTCTACGGGCTCCGCTGATGCAACCGGTGTTCAGATCAACTCAGTCGACCCCTCCGCCGAAGCTGGTCCATCTACGTTGACATCTCGAAATGCCTCAGCAGCTCATTCTAGCTCACAAAAGTTACTTCCGCCCTTCCATCTCGGCACGTACGACTCTATCCTTCGTCTTTGTCAATCTTCTTTCCGAATTGGATGCATCGTTCTCGTTTCGGCTGAGCATGATTCCACCGCCCAGTTCAAGAGCAAGACGCTTACTGACAGCGACTTGGTGCAAGTTCTGGTTGATGAAGACATCATTTGCTGGGGAGGGGATATACGAGACAAGGAACCTTACGAAGCAGGGCTGAAACTAGGAGCAACAACGTATCCGTTCGTGGCTTTCGTAGGGATGCAACCGAGTCGAAATTTCACCTCCTCTTCATCCGGTTCAACAACTGCCAGCCAATCCACCCCTGCGCTTACAGTTCTCTCGCGACATCTTGGTGCCTCTGCTTGTGCACCCTCCACACTAACATCCCATCTACGGGACACGCTCCTACCCCGCGTAAAACCTTACTTGGAACGTACAAGGACACAGAAGGAGAATCTGGAGAGGGAACGAGCTATGGAAAGGGAGTTGCGCGAAGCACAGGACCGCGCGTTTGAAGCGACGAAAAGGAGAGATAAAGAGAGGATTCTCAAGAAGATGGAAGAAGAAAAGGCCGAGCAAGAAAGGAAGAAGGCTGAAGAGGAACGAGAACGCCTGGAGGCCGAATTGCTTGAACGGGAACGCGTGCAAGCGATGAAGCAGGCGGAGGAGAGGGACCGCTGGCGATCATGGTTCAGGCAGGTCTTACCGGCTGAACCTGGCTCAGGCCAAACAATACGAATCGCGGTACGGATGCCTGATGGACGGAGACTCATGCGGCGATTCGATGCGCAGGTGGATACGCTGGATGTTTTGTACGCGTACGTGGATACCGAGTTGGTCATTCCTTCACCCGCTTCGTCGTCTACGTCACTGTCAACGGAGGGAGCATTCTCTTTCGAGACGCTACGTACTATCCTTTCTTCCTCTCCGTTCGCTTCGAAACCGGAAGAATGGTGGGGATTCATTCTCGTGTCCGCTTATCCCCGCCAGTTGATCCCGTGGGAAGCGGATACACTTTTGGGTAGTATCAAAGCTTTGTCCGGAGGCCAGCTCGTCGTGGAGGTGGTCAATAATCGGGTTAATGGGAATGGGAAAAACGGGGGAGGGAAGGGGAAGGGTAAAGCTGCGGAGAGGGAGGACGATGATGATGAATACGAGACGGAGAGTTCAGAAGAGGAGTGATATATGTATCTTTGCCTTGTTTTTTGGAAAACATACGGCATCCGCTCGTTTTGTCGTATTATCACATCATTTTGGGATGTCGTTTTGACGTTGCTATGTTAAATATCTTTGGTGACCAAGGTTGGTAAAACTGGACCTCTATGGTGTATGTATCCTGTCATTTGCTTGAGGGAGTAATAAAAATTGAAAAAATTCCTCCGAACTACATTATCAGTGATGAGAGTGGGATTCGAACCCACGCCCTTTCGGACCAGATTTTACGTGCGCATCAAATACGCTGGTCTCCTTAGTCTGGCGCCTTAGACCGCTCGGCCATCTCACCGCTGGAAGATAAGATCTCAGAAGATCATCAATATAGAAAGAATGATCGGACAGCATCGCTAAACTGAAGTTATACAATGTAATATGAACAATCAACATCTGCATGCATAAAAGAATACAGCGAAAGTGCGTACCAATCAGTATACTATAAAGATCAAGTGAGGATGTAAGCTATCTATCAAGCGAGAATAAAAATCGATAACAGCATAGGTCATGTCAGTAAGTAAGCGAGTAAGTAAAACAACTATTGTATCTAGAGTAAAAAGTTGCAGAAATACATGCCATAGGATAAAACACATACACACTACAAGCAGGGCGGGGAAAAGCATAAATACTTTAAGTGTTTAATCATTGCGCATAGGAAAGTCGATCGATCGGTCGGTCGGTCGGTCGGTCGGTCAGTCAGTCAGTCAGTCATTCAGTCAGCAGTCAGTTATACCATACAAGTTAAGTCAAAGTCAAGTTGTCATACCCATATTAGGGAGCATACGGCCGCACTAGGCGCTCGAAAAGCCTTGTTCGCCGCACCAAGTAGCCATTACCCATCAAGTCTCCCAGTTACCAACACACCATAAAGCACCCTGGCTTCTTCAAATCTTGAGTTCCTTAATGCAAAGTGCGCAATTTCGACCGACTCGGCAGAGAAAGATTCGGCGTCATAACCGGTTTCCCAGTCGTCGGAAAGGACAGAAGTCGAAGCCTGAGGTTGAGAGGGAAGAGTGTGTTTATCTCCATGCGCCAAAGGGACAATGCCAAGCTTGATGAGGGAAAGATAGAATCTACAGAGATTCCTCACTCCCCTGCCCCACGCATCATCGCCGTCACTACTTCCTCCAGATACTTCCATACGCTCCCGTTCTTCCCTCTCCAACCGCTCAATACATTCATGAATAAACCGACTCAATACCTGAGAGTAAACGAGCTGTCCTAGCGGAACCCGATCATCATTGTCGATCATCTGCTCGAAACGATGAGCATTTTCAGAGCTAAGATGCAGGTGAGGAGTCGCAGCTGGAAGAGGAACCGGACGTGTATCTCGTAAAAGCCTTCCCATGAGGTCAAAGGTAGACAGGGACGCAGGAAGATACGGAAGAACATCCAGAATATCCAAAAAGTTGGACGGAGATGAAACCGACGCAATCAACATTTCCACGAATAGTGGATAGGCGACGTCTGAATTGAGCGTAATGATAGCTGTCAAGTCGAGGGGTGTAATTATATCTAATGCCGCAAGCGCAGGAAGAATGGGCTCAAGCGTGCGTCGTTCAGAGAGAGATAAGACTCGTTCACGAGCTGCGAGGATGAGAGTCATGCCATGGGTTAATGCGGCATTTTCGAAATCCTCAGAGGAGGTGTTTGCAGCGGGAGCGCTCCCTCCAGTATTCAAATTAAAAGCCGAGCCAGAGCCTGCTTTGCTGGCGGAGATATAAGGGAGTTCTCTGCGAAAAGTTCTTGATTAGAAAGACAAGGTTGACTGCAGTACGAGATTGTACGAACAAGTCATTATCATTAGCCTCGTCGAGAACCAAATTGATCGCTGCCAACTTGGGCGGTAGTGGTGAGCGAGCAAGAGTGGTCGGGGTATATGGACCAATATCGTTTCCATCTCCACGTAGAATCTTCCAAAGTACCCAAACGAGTTGCTCGTTTGATGGGGTACCCGTCACTGCAGTTCCGGTGTCACCGCCATTCCCCAGTTTGGTCTGGCCGCTCGCGTTGGGACTGGCAACTCTAATTGCCTTCTCCCTTTCTTTAACAAAGGTCATGTACAGAGCTGATCTGAATGGGTTTATAGATATCGGATGAGGTGCGTATAGAGAAAATAAAACGAATGAGACGAGAATCCGCTGAGCTGTTTGATTTCGACCATGACCACCGACATGGCCGTTAGGATGAGTATCGTCGATTCCTGGTGATGCGGGATCACTTTCTAGATCTCCTTCAAGGAGTGGCAACAGCACATCCAGGGCAAGTTGGAACCTAAGAGTCGGCTGAACAAGCTGGGTGAAGGCCTGGGCCGCCGTAGAGCAGGGTAAAGAAAGAGCTCGAGAAAGCAGATGGTGAACAGATGTAAATACCGAGTCCAACGATGGAGAAGATGACGATGAGAGTGAAGAGGAGATAGGAGATTTAGCTGAGAATGACGGTGAAGAGAAAGAAGAAGAAGGCATAGAAAGCATGTTCATCCCATTCATTGACGCCGTCAACATTGTCGACGTCGGCATCGCGTTGGTCAATATTCAATGGGGTCGGGAGCAAAGTTAGATTCAAATTTAGCGCGTAAAGTATAATATAATCACGTGATTTTATTGACGTCATCATTTCCTTTCTTGGAATACATCCTTCGAGGGACCTTAACCTGATCCTCCATGCATCATGCCACCCGTGCATAAACTGCCCCCAGAGCTGTTATCTGTAATTTTTCACCTTCTTGATGATCCACCACCTGTATTTCTCCTCTCATCAGTCTGTTCTCGTTGGAGATCCATAGTCATCGAAACTCCAGCCTTATGGAGAACAATCCTCCTTCCAGCCCTGTCCATAAATCAATTACAGATACACCTTCAGCGTTCTAGACCCTGTACCCTCGCAATCCGCGTATACGCTTCAGTGCGTGTCTTCGATGATCGTCTTTTGACTCTCGTGGCGGAGCATTCCGAACGTTGGGAGGAAGCGGTTTTTTCCATGCGTGGCTCGCTCTACACGTCGCTATCCTCTGTAAGAGGGCGTATTCCTCTCCTCAGGCGATTGAAATTCAATGCGCCTACATCATACGAGGTGCCTGATTTCAAGGGGTTCGAAATCGCACCGGCTTTGCGAGAAGTAATGCTCAAGCCTTTGAACGACAAACTAATAAGGGATATCCCTATTCCAATCGTTCAATTGACAAAGCTACAAATCTTTTTCTACGATACTTCATTTCTATGCTCTTTTCTCACCCGCACTCCCAAAGTATCTCAACTTTCAGTTTCCGGATACTCGCTTGCAAGCGTTACTGCTGCATTTCCGGATGTCAGTTTTCCTGACCTCACGACATTAAATGTGGGCTTGTGCCAAATCCCCCTTATCAATTTCTTACTTTCTCGTGCGCCTAACCTGACCACACTCCGTGTGCATGGGTTCGCGCTTCGAGATATCCCTACTTCGTCAAGTGAGATTACGCTACCTCACCTTCGCTGTTTGATTTTCGATGACCGTGGGCTTCCATACTTTGTCTCCGAAACTCTGAAATCCCTTCGAGTTCCAAGGCTTTCGGTACTTGAGCTCAATGAACATAGCCCAGAATTACATCTACTCGATACGAGTGCCAGAAAGGTTCTTTCTGCAATGGTCATTGGCTCCGCAAGGGATTTGATTATTCGCTCGGAATGTAAGCTTGAAACCTTCAAGCTTACTACCAGCACAGATCCTGCCCCTGAGATTGCTTCGCTTTTCCAGGAAATGCCCTCGTTGCAATATTTGCACATCTCCGTCCAATCTCTTTCCCAAGTTCCCTTCTACTCTATGACTTCTGTTGCGCAAGTATTACCGAAACTCCAAATACTTAGCTTGAGCGCACAGGATTGGAATGGTCCTGCTGCCTTGAGTGACCTGGTCGCCTTCGCGCGAATGAATGACAAATTGAAAGTTTCATTCCTGCGTCGCGCGGATGAGTTGTAGCAGGAGATTCGGATGTGGTTTCTGGTATAGAACGATTTTGTTGGTACTTATATATATATACACGCCGCCTCCTGAAATTGTCTGAACGTCGTATCCTTCCTTACACAACGAGTAACTATTTTCCATTTCCAACTTGGCCAGTGGATGTTTACTGAAAGGCATTCGAGTACTGGATTTCTTCAGATATAAGAAGATACAAAAGTGACTCGTGCGACATGCCAAAATTCATAATGTTAAACCTCGACTTCTCAATCTCCCTATTTGCCCGACTGAGGTCGATAGATTCAAGTATGACTCTATCTAACTACAAGTATATAATACCCTTGTGAATGTGACTACCGATCTGCTGTCAAAGCGTTACACCTCTTAGCATATATCCATTGTGAATTTGAGCAATGCGTCGCGAACTGGCAAGCTGTCGCCACTTTTCTTGCCAGAGTAAATCTTGAACTCACATTGATAATACCTCTGACACCTGAAATGGTGTACTTGCTCGATATAATCTGTGTTTGGGACACCTAAATCATCTATTCACGAGTTGATACGACATGCTTACCTCCAGCAAGAATATGTTGGTGAGGAATTTGCTCCAGTTTTGTCGACAGATTCCAAAATGCTCTTACCAAACAGAGGATGTCCAAGGTATTGTACATACCGCAAACACATTTAGATTGTATGGTGAGTAAATGTTTCATCTCGGATATACATTACTTAACGATATCCCTACTGAGAATATACAAGATCTAGGAGCTAGGCGACAAACATCATGCAGAATATGATCTTTCTTCTCAAGTGGGCGATCTCGGCACCAAAGCTTGACATATAAATTTGACAAACGGAAAGGTACAGATGTGAATCTGAACAGGAGAGGCCGGCGTAGAGGTGAAGACAGGTCTGGGCAATGTTGTTTACAGCGGCAGATTTCGATGTCCCGGAGGAATGGGACAGTATAGATCTCAAGGTCAGGGCATTAAGTTTTCTCAACTCAATGATGCTGCAGCAGGGCTGCTTCCTGAGGGAAAGAGGAATTGGTATTGCATTATGCATCAAGGATATAAAAAGTAGAAAAGGTCAAACCCGACTGCGTAAGTCAAGGAGCGGACAAAAGGTAAAACGAACAAGAAAAATTTCTTACCTATACAGAGGCGTGAGAATAATTGAGATAAGATAAAGCCGCGAAAAAGACCTACCTATTGGGGCTAAATTAAGGGAGATAACGACCGTTTGATGTACACATCCCTTCCTTCCCTTCAGTCAGAGTCGGGGACTCGACTTACCGACTCAACCATGGCGTGCGTTTCCAAGTTACAGAATGCGGTGAGCTGCGAATCTATGAAGAAC